ACAAGTTGCTTACGCCTACATGAATTTGGTTTTTGCCTCACTTGTGACAGTTCGTTTGATATGAAACTATCATTCTATGCGTTATTATTCTAAGGTTATAACATGCTCGGCTCAATTAAAAACTCCGCCTCGCATGTTATAAACCATCTTTACGCACTAATATCGTAATGTACTATTACAACCTTAAACATAGTCTTTTTTTATTATAATTATTGTATTTTTTATATTACAAAATATTAATTGTTCGAAGTTTTATCTTATAGCTTGAAAGAATTGTAAGAGTTTATTATCGCCAACAATAGGAAAAAATGTACTATTTTGCTCGGTTATCCTCTTTGTTTACATTTCGGACATCTAATAATTTATGTGAATCATACTGTTAGTTAGTACAATTAGTTATAATAAGATAGTTTTTATAAGCCGTGGAAATTAATTAAATAAAACAAAATAATCATTTCGATATTTATTCTTTTATCGAACTACAAATACATTTTGTACAGAAGTAATTTAAAATATTTTACGGCGAATTTTTTGCCCTAACATTCATTATACATCTCAATAAATAAGAAATATAATACCTATTCATAGGTTATTATTACATGACAAAGTATCCCAAATAACATACTACTGATAAAGGCAATAATTTTATAACAGCCGTATAACCAAGCGAATTAAGAAAGACGTGTCAGGAAGTATAACAAAACCTGCCGGTTAACCGCGTACCGCGAAAGACAAGCCTGGTGTGATTGATATACTAGTCTTAGTGCGGTAAAACACGTCCGATTTCGTGTCTGATAGTCGGCTCCGACTATCGGATCGGATTCCCTCAATACACGTCCGATAGGCGTCCGATTCTTGCGTTAGACTTTTCTGAACTAACTGCAGTGTTGCCAATTTATGGAGAATTCCCCAAATACAGGGAATTTCTACTCAACGACTCGTTTGGGGATTTTGTTTGGATTACAATAGTTTGTATGAACTGCGGGCCCGTCCCAGCGCGCCCGCCTGGACACGGACATGTGTGAACGATAGTCATATAAACGCAACGATATTTTTTTAAGCCCCTGATGAAGCACGGCCCGTCCACGTCCCGGGCACGGCCCGAATATGTATGGATAGACCTTAATACCACAATATGCCACTCGTCAAGCTTAAATATTAAGGTTTAATCTTAACTCAACTGATTGAGTTTATTTCTAATTATAGCATAACGTATACGTAATAGATGGGCAGATTTAGACTTTCTTAATTATTTGATATATTTTTAAGCGTAACAATAATAATATAATAAATTCAGAGAATGAATAAATATTATTACGTAATGTGGAAAATATGGCCATTGCTCTCCCCAAATTTATAACCTTAATTTTTGGGGATTTTGAATAATTTGCATTGCCAACGCTGCAAATCGGAGGGAAGAATTCGGCTGAAGTACTTTGTTTCCATGGCCAGCAATAAATTTTAAAAAAAATTAGGAGGGAAGAATCGGAGGTGTATTTCGTCCCCCGCAAAAGTATAAAGAGCGCGCCTTCAGACAATCGGATGGGTAATAAAATCGGACACTATTTCCGACTCCGATCCGATAATCGGATCGGACGTGTATTGAGTGTTCATACAATTATATGGTACGAGCGCCTTCCGGTAGTCGGATTAGACTATCGGATGGAAAAAACGGACGTGTATAGTCGCACATAACGTTTTATATGAGAGGCGCTTAGATAGATGAAAGCAACAACATTCATATTTTTCCAAATAAAATTTCGTAAGAAAACTTATCAACGTCCCATACATTTATTATTAGGCAGTTGGTTTGTATGAGAAGTTGGTTTTTTGACGATTATATAAAAATCATCCAAAGAAAATTTGCTCGTTTCACCGGAATTATTCTTAAACATGTCACACTATATTTTACAGTAAGCTATATAAACTGACTCTTGCCGAACTGAAAATTTTAACTTTATTTCAACGTAGTAAGGTACAATTATGTAAAAATAAATTTGAAGTATTGTATATTTTTAATACAGTTGCTCAAAACGTTGGATTTTTCGCACTAGTGCTTTTTACATTACCATTTTTTAAATTGACTGTTGTTTCAAGTCTTAAACATGGAACTAAAGAGGTTGTATATTTATTTAATATTTATGGGCTTTGTGACGTAAGTCATTCGTCATTAAAACTTATATTTACTTAAAAACATATTATTTCTTTAAATTGCATAGGTGTTTTATAAAACAACGGGTTACATTTAAAAATACCAAAATATTTTCCATAAAGATGGCTGATTGAGTATTAACTATGACCGGAGGTGAGTACCTATTACGCGAGACCGCTAAGCACGGCACTAAAATAGTAATTTTAATGTGGCTGAATACTGGCAACAATTGCCATTGTACTCTGATTTTTTATCAGACAAAGAAATAAAGTGAGTTTTTTAAAAATACTGTTTTATTTTACTTTCAATGTAGTTTTTTCGCAAATGTATTAAAAAACATCGTTTGATACACGTAAGGGTTCGTCATTTTCACTTGTCTCGAGTCTTGACCCTCGGTTCTGGCTCGGGCCAAGAAGCCTCTAGACTCGTGGATAATGACTAACTTTCCACACTTGTATCCAAATAGTTATTTTGGATACAAGTGCGGAAACCTCTTTACAACGTCTTTAGTTCTATGTTTAAGACTTAAAAACAACAGTAAATTTAAAAAAAATGGAAAAGTAAAAAGCATTAGTGCGAAAAAATCCAACTTTCGGCACGATTTGTAGTACGAAAAATACCACGTTTTGAGCAACTGTATCAAAAATAACTATTTTAGTTTGATCCACCGTTTAGTACATTAAAGTATGCGCACAAAATACGCCAACACAAAACATACATCGGGATCCCAGATATAGTTTTCTCGTTTTATCGGAAAAAGTAATTATTGCGCTATCTAGCGAGAAAAATTCAGAACGTTTCTAATTCAGTTTCACTTTTCTTCTATGTAGCTATACTTTTAAAGTTAAGTAATGAAAATTATGTCTAAGTATATTTTAGACAGAACATCCACGTGAGCAATAATCATATACATAAGAGATTAATATTGATATATCTTTTCAGTGTACCAAACTTAAAAATATGAAAACTATCAAATTCTTTATTATAATTTAAAATTATTTTTTTTTACAAGGGCTAGTTTTGCTACAAAATCCTACAAAGATTCAGTTTGCGTTGCTCGTTACCTGTGGCAGAATACCTTGTTCATAAAGAATTATCAGAGTGTGGATCACATTCACATAACTTATTATAGAATACATGGCACACTGTTTTTATAAATATACATTCAACGTGATTAATAAACACTGTTCAGTTTTGCAAGTGTAAAAAAATTATTACCAATATCAGATTATTTTAAATTAATTTCGTTGGCTGCTCTCGATTCCGTTGTTGTAGTCAGGCTTAGCAATAGCGCCAATAGACAAAACTAACTAGAATGGAAAACCCGTCTTTTGTGAAGTGATGGAACAGACCTCTGCTTCTGCTACCGTAACTGCTGCAGTACCGCACGCTTTTTTACATCTGTTTCCGTTTCTGACGAGACGCGCGCGCGGATTGCTTGGTGGTGGGGCGCGCGTCTCTTAGCAGTTTTGTGTTGTGTTAAGTGCAATTACGACACCAAAAACAAGCTCTGTTTAAAACTATTTCGTTGAAATCTTTATGGTATTTACACTTCTACTTCCGTATCCGCTACCAGTAAGATTTACTTGTGACATGTTACCGTTATGACACTTTCTTAGAAGCACTACTTTTGTGTTCCCAGCTTGCTCGCGTCTATAAAAATAATGATATTTTTACAGGCAAAATGGATATATTACTGAAGACGTCTTTTGTCTTTGCTAAGCCTGAAGCTATGTATTAAAAAAAACGGATTGCCTTTTTAAACTAACACAACGTGAAGGATTTTCAAATTTTGACATAGGTATTTATTTTAGACTTTCCTTTTAAAATTAGTATAGATTATGAAATGTTTTCACCATGCAGAGCCATCTGCTCCTGCATACAAGTTAAAACTCCCAAAAAGAACGTCATTTACAGTGAGCGATTGCATACATAAATACTGTTTTGATATTTTATATACTAACAATGTTTTACTTTTATTAAAATCAGACTAAACTTTTTGAAAGTTACAGTTTTTTAATGGATAGCGTCCATTTTTACTACATATTTTATTCGTAGCAACGTTTAACATTACCATTAGAGCCTCCAAATAACCAAGTAATCGAATTGATGTCCATATTATTCATAGACAAATAGTATTAAAATTTTGCACAGTATAAATCTGAATTTATTATAATATACAACATGTATTCAAGAGTAAATCCTTATTTATCTATATAACATCTACTCACAACATCCCATTGTTCTTAACGTTTGCTCGCTTCTAAACGCTAGACACTAATTGCGAAATGTTTTTCATAATTGTGATAGTATCAACAAAAAATAAAAATAATATTTTAAAGCTGACAATTTACCATTAGGTCTCTGTAATAGTGGGGCGCTAGTATTTTGATAACCACAAAACACCTCTTCTTAGGGCCCAGTCATTAGGAAAGCATTTGAGGTAGTATAATGTAATAGTAAGGCTGCACACGGTGCGAATGTTTCTCAACTGTAGTTCTTATGCAGTCGGACAACTGTACGCCGACTGCACACTGACCTACTTTTTTTAAGTTGACAATGTAGGTTTGATTGGTAGAAGAAATTATTTTTTTATTGTGTAGTGTCTTCGTCTAGAGTCCTAATTTAAATTATCAGCCTTTAAAAAGCGATCGCAAATTATTAAGACGGCTACGACGTCAGTCAGCATAGAAGGACTAGCTTGGCGGATTAATATTGAAGTATTATGAACTTAATAACTTTAGGTTTAAACTTATTAAGTATACTGCCAAGCAGCAATATAATACGGTGGTTATGCATTGGTTGGCTATAAAGGGCGCCTTCAAATTAGTCGCTTGTAGAAGTGCTCTAGTGGCGCGACGACGGTGTCGCGACAGTCGCGCGTCTGGTGCGCTTTAGTGATTTTTAATTCACTTAGTGAATGTAGACTGCAAAAATGGCGCGCACGTGTGACGACAGTGATACTGCAACTGCACTTCTAAATATTGTGTGCAAATTGGTAGTGTCGCGGCTGCAGCTCCACTGCTGTTCAACTGTAGAGTTTCTATATGCATCTAATTTGAAGGCGCCCTAAGGGCTAAATCGCGGTAAAACAACAACAAGAGCCTAGCTCTTAAATCTAAAAGAGGTATAAATATCACATTCCAAAATAACTACGACTTTATGAACAAATTAGGTTTGACAAAATTAAATAGTAATTTATTAGCCTTGTAATATTATTAAATAGGTCACTTAGTTATTACCTTAGAGTAACGCACTACAGTGGCTACACAATTATCAGATCTTACATAATCGATACAGATGCTTTGATTTACACAACAACTGACAAAATAAATGTAAAAAAAACAGATACAAACAGAACAATAACATATTAAGATATTTTTTACCTTGGAACTTGTTTTATTGATAAATAAATAGATTAATTAATTACCTAATAAAATAGCATCTATAAAAACTTTTGTAAATAAAATGTGATTAGCTTTTAACGCCATAAATAACATAAATATGTACATATTACTAACTTTACTGTAAATACTTAGGCACGATAAATCTAACATTGAAAGCTACAACTCCTAGAGTCTATCGGCCCCTTACTATTTCTTACTAAACACGATTTTAAAACATGTCACTTACTTCTGTGTACCTACCTTCTTACGCAATTTGTACCCAGGTGTGTAATGTAAATATATTAGAGATAACTTTAATTGATTGTGATGTCCATGGTACTTTTCAAAAGTTAACACATTTATTTCATAAGTTTAACGTCCATTGTCTACAAAAGCGCTATATTCATGTCTCATTATCACGCTGTTAGTTAAAATAACGATATATTATTAGTTTTGAAACACAACTTTTTCTTCTACGCATTCGTAGAAAATGGGCCTAAGAGGGGCTTCATGATGTTACTTCTTAAACTAGGTACGTTATTTATGTTACAATTACACAGAATAATTAATTTACACAATAGTTACTTCGATAACATGAGTAATGTCCTACACTGCATAAATTACGAATAAGGGTTATTTACTTCATACAAAAATCGACGTTCCAAAGCCTGAAATTCTTTTTATAGCTTTCCTTCATAACAGTGCCGACTACATTATATGAGCAGCTCGTTTGGAAATAAAAATTAAAAAATGCACAAGTCTTCGCTAATACTGAACTATTAGAGAATTCCAGGCGTTACTTATTTTAATATTCTATCTACCTATGCTGGTACAGTTTATGCCTTCGTTCTGATGCAGTGAGGACGACTTGGCATCATGTTACAGAAACAGAGGCATTGATCACAGTGCCAGCAAACTAGCTATTGTAGTCAAATTCACTCCACATCACACGACATCATTATCGTTGTTGTGTATATTTTTAGGAGTAAACCGGTTTAACATTGCTAGAGCTCGTTTCTCAAAAATAATTATTATTTTTCAATATAATGAGGTCGAATTTTGGTCTCCCTTTTGGTCTTGTAGTTGTGCGGCTTCGTTTCATATTATAATCAAAATTAACTTGGCCTTTCTCTTTAGGCTTTATAACTATAACATCACTTAACAATTTCGTAACTTTATTTGGGAATGTAATGAGGCTACTTAGTACAGTTTTACTACAATAAGTTTAAGCCGAAACGATCTTTTCATAAACACAATTAAATTATACTATGCCAATATTTTATCATTTATTACTTAGGGATATAAATTATACCTTATGTTATAAAAATCAAGGTGGGCCACCGCCAGCACAAAAATATCTTAAGGAAATCCAAATTCTAGGCCGGCCGTGATATAATTTGTAATGCAGTATGTACAAACTACATTCAGGTACTTTACAATAAAATACTGATAGATTATCATCAATAATACTGGATTTTGGCACTCTAGGAAGTATTTTAACTTTATGTCAACTGTTACAAATAAGTAACCACATTGTTCTATTATTTTTGCTTCTATGGTTTTTGAATGAGTTGTTATTTAATGCCGCCCGTTAGCTCTTATAGTTTGTACACAAGGGACTTTGCACCAACATCCCAAAGGTTAAACAATTTATGACCGGGAGCAGACTTGGTTTGAAACCTAGCGTAAACTCAGTGAAAAAGCGTTTCGCAGTCTTCCTCTCTAAGTGGATAACTCCTCGTAAATATTTATTGGCAGTTTTTACCTATTAATAAAATCTAATTTTAAATCAAACTTTATAAAAATATTTAATTCAACAATTTTCAAAACGATTCTTTGGCATTCTAAATGGGTAACCTAATTTTCTTTGGCGATACCTGTTATTCTTTGGTAGCAGAGTATTTTCCTAATAAATTTACGTTATTTAAAAATATTAAGAATCTCCGATTGCATTAAAATAACAATTTCTTAAAGTATAAGAATAGAAATGGTAGGATTGTATCCAATTATTTGGGTACAATTGGCAAAATATTCGGGACAACTGACAGAAGCATTGAACGAATTCATGACTTTTGTAATTTCATGACTATTTCTTGCCTATAAAGTAAAAGTACTAAGAAAAGCGGACTTATTTTAGTTTACAATATTGCTTAGCATCGGAAGTATAAGACGTAGCAGTAATCGTTTGGTTTGTTTCACTGTGTTTCATTTTCAGTGTCTGCGGGAGTCGCTGGCTGGTTCACACTGATTCGGACCTCTCCTGAAGGGCCCACCACGATTTTCACCTGAAACAAGATGCTTTTTGAATTTAAGACATTTTAACTTCCGATAAAAATAGCCCGGTTTCATCTCGTACAAATGCAATGCAAACGACGTAGCCCCAAACTATAGCTTTCCAAAAACATAAAAATACTGACAGTGAATTCTACTCCCTTGCCGTACGCATCAGGAAATTTGAAGTCGAGCGCTTAATACGAGTGAGTGGTAAAGCGTGTTCTACGGTTCTGGGCTTTCTAGTAATCCGAGTGAGAAACGGTGAGAGAGCGGAGCTAAATTGTAAAGTTCTCACTCCGACTGAAACCCGACAAGCAGGTCACTTTTCTGCGGTGATTAGAAGCTTCACATCTCGTATTTTTCTTCCTTCTTTTTGGAACCATTCATAAACAACAAAAGATACTCACAAATCCACAAATATGCTCTACATTCTCATCAAACAATAACAATATGTATGAATTTGGAGGTGTCGGGACTCGGGAGTCGATTCACGATAACTCAGTTGTCGACCGATTCAATTTTTTCATTTTTATTCACAACACCCGAATCGAATGTCAAACTGTCATATTCAAACCGACCCGAAATGACGTCACACCCGTAAGATTACTCGAACTTCTCGACCGGCAAAGGCTACAAACGTGAATTACGTTTGTAGCCTTTGCCGGAACACAGTTAACAAATGAAAGTTATCGAACGTCCTATTGTTTACAAAGCAAGAATGTAATATCGAAATACCATATCGTTTTAAATAAAGTATGGATTTTGTTAAATTTAATGAATTTATTTTAATGAAAGGCTATTGCATTCCTATCTTTTAGGCTTTTAAAGTCTTAAAAAGATATATAAAAGCATTGTCATTTTTCATAAAATCTATTTCACCGACTAACTCTGTAAACGCTGTTGGATAACGATATCGAATCGGAATTGATCGTTTAACTCGAAGTTCTGAATAGATACTACTACCCGGGCGACTACCTGAGCGAAGAAAGCATACCTAGTCTCCCCGTCAGACATTCATAGCGTAGTAAACAGGGTTAGGAGGTGGGGCGATAGGAGAGGTAGCTGCAGTAGCAGAGTTCAATACTCCCGACGGAGCTCCCTCAGGGGCGCCTCTAGCTGCGCGAGATGGGGAGCCTGGGGCTGGCTGGTACAAGGGCGCTGCCACCTGCACATGAAAAAGTGATATAAAGTGATAAAAGTTATATCCCATTGTATAATGTCACTGTAATTCCTTACCATACTTTGAAGTTTTCACTGCCAAATGTGCCCGGGGGTATGGGCACATTTGGCAGTAAAAACCTCAAAATAATGTTTTATTTTAAATCCAATTTGAAAATAAAAAAATAGTCGTTGTTTTGTCATTATTTTTAATTCATTTGTATAATAGGTTTGTCGAAGGATCGAGATTAATATTGGGTTTTTGTAAATTTTGCAACCATTACCTACTTGAACACATTTCTTATTTATTAATTAATGTTAAACTGTTACAATTTTACATTTTCTACCGTTTCTGCTTTTTTTGCATTGGCTAAATAGTCTGGCCTGTATGTATAGTATGTTTGTGTTAAATAGTAATTGTTGTGAAATGCATACTAGAAGGTACTTCGTGATATTTTTAAATCTTGTTTACATTATTATCCTATTGTACTTATTGAATAACACCTATAATACCTTTTCGGAATAGCAGATCATTTGCTTTCCTCCCCCGGGTTGAGGAGCCGGCACAGGTCGATATCGTGCTGGTGCAGGGCATAGACTCTGAAAATCAATTACACGTTTGTTATTCATAATCAAACATTCGCACGTTAAAATGCGATGCTGCTTCTTTGTATGACATTTTTTACCCCCACACTACGTATACAGTGGGTATGTACTTTATTGTTAGAAAAACATCGCATCGCAGTTTGCTACCTTGTCAAAAGTTTCACAAAACAATCCGAAAAATGCTAGTAATGTGTTTTGAGAAAAAATCGTTGGCAAATTACGTTTTCAAGCTTGGAGCGTACTTTTTCTGTACTCGGAAATAAACAAATGCTTTTATAGTCAATAGCACGTCAAATAAGTCACTTTGACCTTTGTCTTCCTAACATTGAATAAACATCAATGATCCATGCTTTTTTTACGTATTGGTATAATATTATTGATAGAAAACGTAGTGCTTAAATTCTCTTTGTTGATAGACATAGACAAACATACAAAAATTGAAGCTTACATTTACAAAACAGCAAAAATGTGAAGTATAGCCGACACGCGTACACATGTAATAAGCCAAATTATATTTTATATATTTATTTTAGGTATGAGTAGCTGCCGATTCTCGTTTGAGTCTAGAAGAAATAAAGATATAAATTAAATTTAAAAAATACATAATGATAGCTTAGAGGAGACACATTTGCACCTGTAGGGGGTGAGTGTACTGTGCTCGCTGAGGCTGCACAGGTATCGGCTGTGCCTGTTGCTGGGGCTGCGACGGCAGCTGCGGTTGCGGTTGCTGCTGTGGTGTGCTCGTGCCGCTACTGCGCTGCTGCTGCTGGTAGTACTGGTGCATGCGCGAGTCTGAAAGTCAAGGTTTGCTTATTATTATTAAATATAAGCAGGTACGATAAACATAATAAACATATTTTTTTATTGTTGTCCACATAATTGTTAAGGTGTCGTTTAAAATGGGCAGACCTTATAGTTACACAATAGATAACGGACAGGTACACACAATCAGTCGGAGTCCAATGGGTAGAATAGTCGTGCTGGTAGTGATAATGCGCGCTGTAGGGCACGTAAAGCAATTGATGGTGCGTGCGGATTGGTGGAGGCGATTCCGGGCGACGGCAACGTTGCACCGCGCGCACCGGCGACGTCTGCTCTGAGCTCGTCTGAGAACTATACAGCTCCTGACTGCTGTCCGAACATCTGGAACACAAAAATGACCTATCGCTGTAAGGTTCCTGAACTCCCTGTCCACTCTCGCCAACGGCTCTCGTGATAATGACTGGGTAAACCCACGCATAGACACACGAGACCGCGTGTAGTATATGTACTATTTGCCAGGTTTTATTTAAATCAGTTACCGAAAAGTGTACGGAACCGGATTCATCCCTTAGTTTGCCAGCTTTACAGGTGGAATATTTTCTTCAAATTTAAATGGGACCAATATTGAGGTACCTTCTTTCCAACAATAAGGAATTATCAAAATTCAATTATCAATTCACATATGCGTTATCGTGTAACATCATACAAAAAAACGTCCAATTGAAAACCTGCTCCTTTTTTGAAGTCGATTAAAAAATGGAACTGCGGTTCACTTAGTTCATGCAAATTCCATGTCGAAACACATGTAAGTTAATATTATAAAAGGTTAAGAAATCAAGTAAAGCGTTTTAAAACTACCAACACGACAACAAGAGGTACAGCCAAGAGCACGTCAAGCTTGACACTTTGGACCGTTCTTATCCTAAGCGGCATAGAGTTGGATTTAAGTCTTAAGTGTTAAGCTTGACGTGCTCTTGACCCTGTACATATACTTACCCGATATTGACGTAAAGCGAGCAATTCCTGTACATGTCCTGTTGTTGGCGCTGATAGTGCGCGTAGGAGGCCATAGACTGAGCGTGCGCGTAACACGCATCCGAATGCTGCTGTGGCACCGGCGTGCCGCCGTGCTGTCGTGCCGTGACATAGTCCGACGACTTGGACCTGACCGATCATGTGGTAGACAGTTAGTTCAAATATTACACTAAAAGTTTGTGTATATTGTATTTTTTATATGAATTTTTTCTTTGTTTTTGAAAGTACTTTATGTGTTTTGCTGAATGTGGAAATTCGTAAATGGCATTTGATTACTCATATTTAAGTATAACTATAGTTGTAAAATTAGATAGTGAGTTTCCATAAAATGTATAAAAATAAAATATAATAAATAAAACATATGATATACACTAAACCAGGAATGTCACTTCAAGAATTTACCAGATTAACTTGATCCACAAACGTACCAAGTAGAACTAGCGCTAGCGCGACTTTGTGGCCGTGAGTTCAGGTTAGCCTCAGAGTAATACGGCCAGGAGTAGTTAGAAGTGGTTCGTTGACAGGCGTGAGGCTGAGTGGGCGTTGCTGACGCCGTCGGCGAGGGCTGTAGCTCATTTTGCATCTGTTGCAAAATTTCGTTTGAAGCACCCAGCTGCTGTTTCACTGACACACCGCGTACGTTTGGCCGGCGATGGAACCCTACGAAAAAAGGTATTATATCGTGTGGATGCTAATGAGTATCGCAGCTTACATCTGTCTCAAACGCCCATACCATAATCGTCATGCTCATCATCGCTGCTGGCTTGTGACTGAGATTCCTGGCTGTACCGCTGGCGAATGCGCTCTGTCCGCGGAGCCGCCGCGCGCGCAAATGCCGCGAGACCCTCATCGCCTTCTCCAGCTCCTTGAACATGTTCACCGCTAAAAAGTTCTGCTATAAAATTATGAATATTGTATTATTTTGCGACTCTAACAATCATACCCGGGGTGCCAGCAACAACATCGGGAGCGGGGGTTTCATTGTGATCTTGCAGGTCAATGTTAGTGGCTGAAGACGCAGATGTTCTGTCTCCTGGTGGCACGTAGTAGAAACCCTCGTGATGTGCTGCACTGCCCACGCAGGCCGTTAGAGGTGCAAGTGTGGAGAGAAACTGTCGTCGTGGTTCCGATCGCAACTACAACACATTTACCAAAGTAAAAATAACTATGTATTACTTATATTCTATTTGACTGCTCCATTCACACTCGCGTTCTCAAATCGACCGTTTTTAATACACTCAGAGACTTATATTTTCTTTTAGCAACTTGGATTGCTATAGATGTTTCACAAGAAAATTACAGTTATTTCTAAAAGGCTATAATATGATAATGAGCTTGTATTATAATACCATTTATGTCGGGAGTCTACAAATAGGTTAATTATACACGAAATCACAGGCAACGGTCAGAGTTTGCTACGACATTATTATCTTTTATTCATAGAAACTACGAGAAACTAATTATTACTTAAAAGTCCGATAAATTATCTGATAAATTAACTCGTAGTTATAATCTGTACCTTGTTATTTCGAGTAGTCTGAAAAAAATATGAACACAACAGTCGCATTATTAGTTAATTATTTCCACACCTTCTGAGCATCGTGATGCAAATCCCCTAGGTCAGGTGGTTGCTGACGCGACTGCACGGGTGCTGACAAAGTAGACGATGATGAACTCGAAGAGGCACTTCCAAACGCCTTTTCGCTGTTCTTGTCGAGACTGTTGAACGATTTGTCGCTGCTAGTCGAGAATTTATCGACACTGGCCCCTGCTGGCGAAGACCGCTGCTCCTCGTGTTCATCTTCCACGTCGCAAGTCAGAAGACGGATACGCTCCGCTAGAGATGTGGTTTCTGGTTGCTATTAATATAAATTTTTTAAAAGATCGCATTAGCAAAAACTATGTTTAAATATTGGTATACCAAGATGATTATCTTTTCAATAAACACTAATAATATCAAGTATTTTCCAGTAATTACAAAGTATAATGTTGAGACCGCAAATCAGTATCTACATCTTCTTGCGCTTATAACAGTTAGCTGTAACCACAACTTTATTCTACAGATTTAATTTGTGTTATTATTGATATCGTCATAGCACCTACGTAGTTACTTAACCTTACAGCTTATGTAGTAAGCTAATTATAAGCGTTCTATAGATTTTAATGCGTGTAAAATACTAAAGCCTCGATCACGATTTTAATCACTATCTTTTTTAACAGTTATGCTCTTGATGGTGTAGCCTCCTTCATTCCACACGACCCATAGCTAGCGATTCCATAAAGGGTCTAATATTTGAACGTGTAAACACGATAAATGTGTGAAATTTTATGAAAATGTGACTAATGTAATTGAAATATGTATGTAAACGTTAAAAGTTAACTTGAAAGGAAAACCTTTTTATTTTTTAAATGATCAGTATTTTTTTGTAAGTTTAACCGCCTAAATAGTTTTGACGCCGATTACGTTATCTATAGTTGCGGTCTGAAATTTTAAACATGGATGGACCAGTATGGCTAGCATCACAAAACGCGACTTGCACGAGAGCGACATAAAGCGCGAGATCTCTATGCGAGAATAGCAGTAGGTATCTCGTGCTAGTCACGCGCTGTCGTGCTAGCCCTTTAGCCATTATAAAATAAATGTATTACATTGCCTTCTATGGAATATAAAATTTGAAACGATGAAATCGATCAAAGCATCATTCGATTATCCATCTACAACCGATTCAATAAAACATCGAATGCATTTGCACCGTTAAAAATTAAGTATTCTGCTTTTTTACTTTTTACTGGTTACTTAACCTTTTGGAAGGAGCAATGAACAGGCTAGACTGAATATGGGAAGCGCGGCTGATTTTTTTTATAAGAAATACGAATAATTTAGTGTATTTCTGATTGTTTGTTGAATACATAGAAATCGACGGCAATATATTGAATTTTGCCGAATATGTAGGTACTGTGTGCAAATCCTATTTCGATGGCATTCAATGTTAATACGGTCCTAACTCGCGATTCAATATAAATTGATTGATTCTAACATTTGAAACATAATTATTCTAAACTACTGCACACGAATTGTTACAACAGTATTTAAAGAGGTGTACAATTGTTAAGCGCTTATTAAAAATAACAATTCCTTCGTCCAATCGTAGTCAATTTTCAAGAAAACTCTTTGTCTAATAAGAAATGACAGCCAGTAGGTATGTTCCGACGAAATTTAATAGTCCAACAAATTATGCGGTTGCATTGAAAAAATGGTCAATGTACTCGTCTTATTGATTCTTATTATTGAGTTTTCATTAACGAGCTACACAATCTGTCAAACAATGTTATATTGATAGTGACGATACTGAAACAAAGGTAAGTTAGAAGGTTAATCAATAAAATAAATCGGACCTCCCCTTATGAGCAATCCACAATTGGTATCGTATTCTACTTAAATTTCTAAAACGTATAACTTTCTATATTGCCTATCTATACCTCTGTATTTGAATTGTGATCGCTTGATACTACATACGAAAATTTTATTTTGTTCTTACATATTAGATTTAATCTGTAAAGTGGTTGTGACATTTTTACCTTTGGTTGTTGTTTTTTGCGAGCTTCACTCCGCAGTAGCGAACATCTGAGAGCATTTCTTTCAGCTACCCGACGCACTGCAGCCTCCTCCATCTTCGGCCGTACCCCGGCATCCCAAGCTCTGGGCAAAAAATTAGCAATCAAGTTTAGTAATCTTTCTCACTTTAACTGAACCATTTGGTAGATACAGTAACTGCTGCTGAAGCTTTTACTACCCCGTCACCATCATCATTAGTCTATCGTATTCCACTACTGGACATAGACCTCTCCCTTCTGTCTGTCTTCAGCTTGTCGTATCCATCTGCTACCAGCAGCCTTTCACTGCACGTCATGTCGCTTCGTCTAGCCATAGGGCGTCCTACATTACGTTTGCCGGGCCGTTGTCTCCACTCAAGAACTTGCTTTCCCCATCGGTAAGCACGCTCAAACTCATATCGCACTAAGGAAACACGTAGGGTTTCCCTGTGTCGCGGTTGCCACACACATAGACAACCACAAATTACACCCAAACTCAAGAGAGAAATGTATGTAGGCCATACTAATATTTAACCAGCCCGGGAATCGAACCCGGGACCTCTGCGTGCCAGACCAGCATGGTAACCGTACGGCCACGGAGGCAGTTTATTCATCACCCGGGCAGGGCGTGGGTGTTGGCTCTCCACGCCGGACTGGGGAACCACATGAAACGGCTGTTCACCAGCTGTCTCCGGAGCGGTGTGTTCCTGTCCGGCTGGAAATCGGCGAGGGTGGTCCTTATAAAGAAGGAAGATCGAAAGTTGTTTGAAAGAACACTTGCCGAGCGGCTCAGCGGGCATCTGTTGCGAGTAGGGCCTGACCTGTCGGAAGACCAGTACGGCTTCCGGCAGGCGCGGTCGACTGTGAACGCGATCCTTCACGTTCGTACACTGTCGACACAGGTACTGTCCCGGGGCGGAGTGGCGTTGGCGGTAAGCCTAGATATCGTCAACGCCTTCAACTCCTTGCCCTGGTTGACCGTTAAGGAGGCGCTTGAGTATCATCGAGTGCTGCGCCAGGATTCCGCCCAGCACACGCTGGAAGAGTGCCCCGCATGGGCCTCCGAGCGGAACATCCTGGTTGCCCGGATCGGGCGAGATCTCTCTCCGCCAGGCATAGTAGCGGCTATGTTGGCGGATCAAGAGTCCCATGAAGCAGTGGTCTCCTTCTGTGAAGCGGTGATGCTTCAGAAGGAGGTCGCCGAGCGTGATTGGGAGAGAGCCGATCCCGCTCGGCCCGGCTTCGTTCGCCAGTAAGTTAGGCAGCCGCGAGGAGGACGACAGGGCGGTGTGACCTGCTTCGTCGTGAGGAGAGGAGGGGGAGGAAGTAGTTCCTCCTAGGTGCTGAGGGGTTCCGGTGCGCAAAGTCGATCCCGGATGCTTCCCACTAGAGCACCCGAGAAGGCCACTGTGGGGTTTTAGCCGGTAGAAGTCCTAACCTCCCGCTGCCCACGCGGCGGAGAGGTATCCTAGGAGAGGTATCCCACGCAAAAAAAAAACATCCACGGAGGCATTCGTCGGTTATCGGTTCTATGACAGATATGGCCAGCCCACTGCCATTTCATTATTCTACCAGCTATGTTGACGACCTCCATTCTGTCGGCTAACCTTGTTTCGTATCATATCCTTCTGAGAAACTCCGAGCGTAGCTTGTCCCATTGCTTGTTGAGAGACTTTTAACTAATGGACTAGGTATACAGCCGTATCGTGATTGTCCACGAATCGGCTCCGTATGTCAAAACGGTTTTACTACCCGAAAAGAACAATAGTCCATCTGATGTAATATATAGAAAGACAAAGCTGAAAGTACATAATAATTATATGACAGATATGGATCTGTCGAAGAACTGATAATCGACGACTGCCTCTGTGGCTGAACGGTCGCCATGCTGGTCTGCCAGGAAGAGGGCCCGGGTTCTATTCTATTGTCTTTCTGTTAAAAAAAAATTACTAAATAACTCGTTGAGTAAACGATTAGCTTTCCTCAATTCAAATGTAAAACCTCCGAAGCGGTTCATGTTGCAGTTGTGTATATCATTTTTGTATTTGTTCATGTACGCCCTTACAATAATACCTGATAGTACTTGAGGCGCACTATAAGTTTCCGGAATGAATAAGAAAAAAAAGACTATAAATGGTCAGAAATTTTAGCGTTAGCGTTAATGCACTTTTTCATACGAATGAACCAATTTTGAAAACATTTATGCCACTCCTGCGTGACAATCTCTGAGACATATTTTTCATAATCTTCGACAGCCTCTTCAGGTGATGAAAATCGTTGATTGCGTAACTGGTTCTTAATTTTTCGAAATAAATAAAAGCCACATGGTGCCAGGTCGGGACTGTACGCTGGATGGCTCATGAGATCAACGTTGTTCATCTTCAAAATTTCATTTGTCTGTCTGGCTGTGTGCGAACTGGCATTATCGTGGTGCAAGATGATACAGCGTTTACGGTTATTTTTACGGAGCTTGTCAATAACTTCCGACAAACAAATGGTCGTGTACCAATTACTATTCACGGTACAATGATTCTCCAAAGCAACAGTAACTACGTATCCAGTTTTATTAAAAAAAGAAGCAATCATCCGCTTAAAGGCACTTTGTACGCGCGCCTCTTTGATTGGTTTCGGCTCATCTGGAAAGACCCATACGGTCGATTGCTGCTTTGTTTTGGGTTATATATATATATATATATATATATATATCTTTGTTTATCTTTAAACTGTCTACAAGTCTAAATAAAAACTATCTACATTCTATAAATGGTCCTGTAGCATTCTAGAAGGGTTACATGAGAAAAAAGATAAGAATCACTCTTAACACTACCTACAGATAGATTCTCAAAGCACTCTTGTGATCTACTAATAAAGTTCTGCCCACTTTTACTTTAAATTATCTAGAAACCTTCTTAGGGATATCTTGAGGGAATTTGAACTCTTAAAATATTCAATCGAATTAAATTTAGATATCTTATAGTATAAATTTTGATATGGGTGTGCTGCTTGTGATTGCACCAAGTGACGCGATACGTTTCTTGAACCTCAGTCAAATTGTGTGGAATCAACCGAGAGCACAGTTTTTTCACACCCAAATTCTTGTGTAATATTGATTGTATTTGACTCATGCCTATACCTAAAGATGCCAGAATGTCATGGTATGTCACATGCCTGTTTTGATCACACGGCGCACAGCATCGATGTTATTGTTATTCACAGCAGTGGACGGGCAACCATCACGAAATTCGTCACTGAGATTCACACGACCGCGTCTGAATTCTACAAACCAGCTATAAATAGTCGTCCTGCACGGTGCTTCATCGCCAAAAGCAGTTTGAAGCTGAGCGAAGCTTCGCTGAGCTGTTAAATTACACTTAAAGTCGTAGAAAATCATACTACGAAAATTTTCACAAGTTAAAATATAGTGAAAATCCATGGTGATGTAGACAACCAATTTCTAAAATGACGCCACAATATAAAAACAAGTGACAGTCAGATAAAACAAACTGTATTCTACAGCCAAAGAGTTCCATTTTCAAATGTTGTAATTACTTTTGAAATATTGTTTATGTAAGTGGCCAGTTCCGGAAACTTATAGTGCGCCCTATGTATAGCTAAATGTGCTATAACTTTGCACTTTCGTTACTCAATGAAAATACGCTAGAGTATTGTATTGCATATTAAAAGATACCTACCTAAGAGTTTCGGATGTGACGAGTTGAGGCTCGATAGTGGGTGGAGGGGGCCGACTGCTGTTGAACAGTTGCTGAACAGCAGAGTTGGTCTTGGGCTGGTTTATTGTCAGGATCAGCGGCGTCTCCAATCTGCCCAGACGACTACTACCTTTCTTAAATTGCACACACATTTTCCAACTTACACCAAACGACTTTTCACTACCAATAAGCTATCAAAAAACTATTTTGCTGCTGAGGCTATGAAATTCTGCACTTGGTGATAAAAGTATGAATTTATAATTTAGCAAGCATTGTGCTATATTATAAAAGTGCACGGAAGTATATTTTTAACGACCTCCTTGGTCGAGTGGCTTGCACACCGGCACTCGATCTTCAGACGAGTTAATGTAGAAATTAACTTTTCTGTACTGTCTCGGGTCTGGGTGTTTGTGGTATAGTCGTTATTTTCGAATTCCATAACACTAGTGATTTAGTTACTTACTTTGGGATCAGAGCAACGTGTGTGATATTATCTAATATTTAATACTTATATTCAGATTTGACATAAGTTTTCAATTAGAAATCAAACCCAACGGAGATGTCTCTTAGTCATCACAGATCTGTCGAAAAATCCCAAGTGTAGGTGTATGAACAGAAGGTTAACATGGACCTAATTAAACGAGAGTACGGAGTCGAGTGCAGAGGCCTCTTTTCAAAAAACTCCTCTTTTATTATAAAATTTTACTTTTACGAGATTATTATGTCACTGGATTATTTCCATATTTTCGGCGTAAATTTGACATTAGGCCTGGTGCCTAAATTATCATCATTGGAACGAACTGAAGTTAATCAAATTTGCCACCAAATCTAAAATACACACACTGTATAGTAGAAAATTCATATTTTTATCACAAATTGCACAATTATCTGACTCTAGCAGCTGCTATCAAAGATCTATTGATAGGTTATCATTTCATAGACGGCAAATATATTCAGTACAAATATTGTCTTTGTTTATTAATAAATAGTATCAATGTTGTGAGTTACATAATATTTTTCATTTTATTTACCGCTGGCTGAACGAATTCGCAGTGTTCAGTTTTATGCGTTTATTTTACGAATCGTTGGAAAGTTTTGTTATTTAAAGTAATTGAATACAAAATTTATATTATTTTACTTTTTTCAATTGCAGTTTTTCATTTATTTTTTAAATAGTGGTTATCTTAACTTGAGAATCTATATACATCTGTGGCAAAATTTGGCTATATTTATCATTGTTTATTATTTACTTATGTGAGGTAGTTGTAATATGTTCCTTCTGTATAGGGGTTTCGTTGTCTGATGGCGTAGGTTCGGGTTCGCTCTTAGCTTTCTCAGTGGAGTCCTTATGGCGATCGAGGAACCGCACAGAGCGCGGTGTCACCGATCCATCTTCGTCACTGGCCGTGGTCGTCGATCGCTGGTCGTCGTTCTTTGCCAAAAAATAACATTTAATCGAAAATAAAGAAAAGATAACATATTTTCATTTTGCTATACATTTTATGTTGAATGTGTAGAACGCAGGTCTTTACATTTAGAATTTCAGACAGCTTTATTGCAAGTGGCAAAGAGTTAAATTTAAATTTCAAATGTAATGGTGCTATTATTCGTGACTTAAAATGTAAGAAGTCAAAAAGTGTTCCACACTTATTTTATTTATTATTTTACTTGAAATTTATAACAAAATTGACAAGATTGAATTTTAAGGGCCTCTTATTACTTATTAAAAATCCGATCACACAAATATGAAACAACGGCAGACATGGAGAATGAACACTTTCAAAAAGCTAATATTATTTTTTACGATTTTACGTTATTAGCTTTTCGAAAGTTCGAGTTTTGTTTCTGTAAATGTACCTGCTCTATTTCTTTATCGGTATCCAAAGATTTCCACAGCCTGCCTCCCTTTAGGATACCGCCCCGTCGTTGTCTGAGTGGCGAATTTTCCGAGGACATCCGACCTTCTGCATCTGCTGTGTCGCTTTCTTCACCTGATCAAAATGACGGTTAAGGAAAATGAGAGGTTGGTGAATGCGAAGTTAAGAAATTATGGTGAAAAAGGCCAGCTGGGCTGTGATTGATTACGCCAGAAAGTACGCTGAAAACTGAAGAAAAAAGAGCGTTGCGTACACGTGTGGAGTTACTCTTATATACCTGCTCGACGAGGAACAGTGCGGTAAGGAAGCGTCGTGGTATGCAAAATTTTATAGTAACTTGGATAGGAATGGGAATTGTGCTACAGTTTAATCATTTAGAAAGATGTAAGGTAGTAGGCAGCGGCACAGGTATAGGGCAAATGTAGATGGAAATCTGCTGAAAGCTTCACATCCGCATTTTTCAATCAGTTGAATATGTCTTTAAAGAAGGTTTTAACAAAATAATTTACGAATCTGTTAATATTAGACAATGAAGAGAAAAGGCGTATCAGAAAATTACCATGTGAAGATTCATAGTCTTGGCCTATCTCAAAAAAGGAGGCGGGTGTAATATATACGCATTTGTACTTATCATTTGCGAGGCTAATTGCTCTTTTTAATACAGTATGCTATTATGATCGGTACAAATACCGAGTCGGCAAGAATGGATTCATCCCTATCAGAAGGGACAGAGACGGTTAAGACAAGAGCGTGACCCGAAATATTATTAACCTTTGAGCAACTGCGCGCCTTTATAGGCGTAGTATGTCCAAGTATGTTTTACCTTGTGACGACGCTAACCACCTTCCATCGTCATCCCGCCTTTTTATCACCCTCTTTACTGGTGCCTGGCCACTTAGTTTTAAAATTTTGAAACGTTCTCGAATTCCTTTGCCTTCCACTATTCTTACGTTGGTTCGTTCCATCATCACTCCCATCAAACTTCATATATATTACACGTATATATAAGCCCTCTTAGGGTAAGTGGCTATACTGTTAGTACTAGTTAGGACTGTTTTATATCATTGTATTATTTTTGTTACAGCCTTATCTTCCCCTTTCATTTTCTACTTCTAATAATAATAATAATAATAATAACGCTGACAATCAACATAGCCCCGCACTAGGGAAACCCTGTGTCGCGGGTGCCATGGACACACACATAGACAACCACAAATTACATCCAAACTCACGAGAGAAATAAATGTAGGCCATACAAATGTTTCTCCCGGCCCGGGAATCGAACCTGGGACCTCTGCGTGGCAGTCCGGCATGGTAACCGTTCGGCCACGGAGGCAGTTAAACCTTCTAATAAGTTAAAACTTCTAATAAATTTAAGTGCACCGAGCCCTTCTTTTACTTTCGCTAAGACCAGGCCACAACATTATGTGTTATTTCAGCATGCAAACAATATATATCCATTTTATGTTGGCTCGTTTCATTCAGCAGTTACAAAGTGATTGAATAACAAACATTCTTCCTTACTATCGAGTTAATAATATGTTAATAGTGTTACCTAATGCATACAGGTATCTAACCTACATTAAGCTAATTAAATTTTAGCGAACTGATTGGTTTCATATTTAGGGGAATATTGGAACACTGCGGTTTTGTTTGCGCTTTTTGTCGTGATTCTTTATGAATGCATTACAACTCTTTACAGAAATAGTATATTTTTATGACTTTTAGAACAAACACAGTCCAGACAGATGTCAGACAATGTAGAAAACTTTCAAGGCAACACGGCGATGCCATAAGAGCATTTGCGCACTACGTTCCGAATCCGAGGTCCGAAATATCACACGGATCATTTTATCTGTAGGTATACAAGCGATATTCGTATTTTCTCGGATTCGCATCGGACTTAGTGCAAAAGCGACATCCAAAGTGGGTCCGAGTTTTCTGGATTTGTAGTCTCGGATTCGCAATGAATACGAATCGGGTGAAGTGCGCACACGCGCTAAGGCGCCCGTCCCGTGCGCGGCAAGCTTGAACACAAAACTAGACCAAAAATTATTGCCTCCGAGACGAAGTATTCTTTAAGATACTCTCTTTGAAATACGAATAATCATATCATGACTATATATGATATGAATACATGTAATAGCGGAATTTTAAAATTCCAAATTATTTATTTGTGTAATTGACATTGATCCTTAGCAACGGCTGACCGACTGAAGAGACAAACTTATCAGTTTATAATGCATATATATTTATAAAGAGAATCTGCATACCTATGAAATTGGTAAATAAATCCGAATACAAACTATTAACTTCTCTTTCCTTGGGTTTGTTATATAACATTACCTATTATCTACTGTCTTAAAAGGGTATTAGTGTTTATTGCTGGCGCACGCACGCAACGTAAGCGCAAATTCAGGACTTTCAGTATACCGTTCTCTAAACTGACGGCCTTGTTAAACTACTAATATCTTTTAAATATAACGTGTTGTAAAAATTATTCCATATATTTATAGAGCTGACACTTAAACAACACACGAAAAAAATTGCATAACTCTTAAAGCATAAAATAAATCAAATCCATTCCAACGGTCTAGCTGGGACAATCTCAAGCGATTATATAAGGAGAGTATGATAAAAACATTATCATAATAAAAACAACAAACACTCACTAGTCAGAGGGGCCGACTGTAACTCTGTTCGTGTCTCCTCTATGCATATGTCTGGACCACATTCTGTAACAAAAACGCTATTTGTTATTTATTATGCACTGGAACAAATACGTCATTTTTTATTTCGTCCTTACGATATAAAAAATGACGTATTTGTTCTCCGTTGGCAACATGGAACGCTGGCATACCAAATTATTTTAAATCAAATTTTAAATTCTTGATACTTTCACTTTATTCTAACAATCATTTTAGCGCCAAGTCCGAATGTGTAAAATTTTACTAAATCATCAATAGCTAATGACGGAGACATCACTTCTATTTCTTATATCAGACCTAAAGTGCGCAAACGCTGCCGTTTTAAATAGGTAAAGTATAGGCACAATATTGATCAACCAAGTCTAACCGAGTCCATAAAAAAAATCAGCTCAATGAGGCGAGTGTTAAGCCTTAAGCCTATTCTCTCATCTACTTTATCGTCAGGCCGCCGTCCAACAAATAAGAAACACGCCTTAAACTTTTACAAAGTTTCCTGACCTGGATTTTAAATAATACAAATATAAAGTAAAATATTTGGCCGAAATGTAAACATTTCCAAATAATACAGTCGGTTATTATTCAATACTTTGCAGCTTTCTTATCAACCATTGTGCGCCTAGTGAAATTCCGCTAAGATTTATGATACAATCTCCGGAATGAAGTAATCCGAGCAATTATGAAAATCTACTTCTTACTCTTTGTTGTAATAGATTTGCAGGGCAAAACTCATCTTGTTACAATAAATAAAAAAAGATACCCTGTACATAAATAGTAGGTAGATATTATCCCTCTGAACTTAGAATAATAACGCATAGAAACCTAGCCCGCACACGCTAAGTGAGGCAAATTGTAGGACGCCCTATGGGCTTACACGAGTGAGCGGGCTGTCAGTGCTCAAGGTCAAGTTGCACCGCGAGCAGCTCAAAAATTTTTGCTAAAAATGACGAAATGTGGGGTAATTGGGTTTAAAAATAGATCAGACAAATATAAAATAGACACTAATATCACATTCTACAAGGAAGTTACGCGTTTCAACTTGTATTTTTATGTAAATATTCACTAAAACAGAAAATTAATTTCGTTGCAACAAGATATGAAAATGTTGCAAAGTAACGGGTTTTTTCTCCCCATTTTGCTATTCTGTTTCAAAATAATTATATTACGTAATTTTTTGAGAATAGGCAATATCGCGACGGTTGCAAAATTTCTACAAATGTACATCGCCGCAACAACATTGTAGGGAATTTACGTTAGCTATTTTTACGAAATATATTTAGTATTTGCCTTCATTAGTTTCATGTGAAAAATCATTATTCTTGTTCATCATACACTCATTTAAAAAAACTGTCTTGCCCAGACTCAAAAGTTCTTAACTAAAATTATTTCAGGAAACTAACACTGACTAAAAAGTCATCGTCAGTTCTCCAAAATCGTGTATAAATAACTTTCAGGTTCAGGTTGTTATCGTGGACTTTTCATGTAAACCCACAGATAATATCAGGCTATTTATATATTCAAATTCGATAGTCGCACTTAAACTCGCTTGTAGGTTTTTGTTCATATATGAGTTAAATAAAAATTGGGTAGTATTTAATAAGGTGCCTACAGATTTGCTCGACATTGTCGATCGACAGTAACGATTGAGAATTATAGACGTTTTCGAGGAGTTTTAGAGTGCTTATTACGAATGTAGCATTAATTTCTAAATCCAAGATGATTGCCAACAATTTTCAAAAATGTATTTTTGGTAAACCATAAGGAAATGGCATGTATATCTGAATACAAGATGGGAGACAAGACTTCTAATTCTTCTTCTTCTAATTCTTTGCTATCTTGGATTTAGAAATATGTGCTATATTCGGAATGAGCAGCCCCTAATACCTTGAAAACGACACCCAACTCGCTATTATTCGAAAAATCGTGCCCGCCGTCTTGGATTTAGAAATTAATGCCATGTTCTTAATGAGCACCCCCAAATACCTCGAAAACGACACCCAACTTGCTATTATTTGAAAAGTCATGTCCGCCATCTTGGATTTAGAAATAAGTGCTATATTCCTAATGAGCACCCCCAAATACCTCGAAAACGATCCCCAACTTGCCATTTTATGAAAAATCGTGCCCGCCATCTTGGATTTAGAAATGAGTGCCATATTCGCAATGAGCACCCCCAAATACCTCGAAAATGATACCCATATTGCATTTATTTCAAAAGTCGTGTCCGCCTTCTTGGATTTAGAAATAAATGACATATTCGTGATGAGCACCTCGAATACCTCGAAAACGATTTCCATATTGCATTTATTCGAAAGGACGTGTCCGCCATCTTGGATTTAGAAATGAGAAAAGTCGTGTCCGCCTTCGTGTATTCAGATATAAATGCCATTTCCATAAGGATTACCAAAAATCAATTTTTGAAAATTCCTGTCACTTGACGTTGTCGATCAACAGTAACGATCGACAAAATCGAGCATATCTGTAGGCACCTGCTTGACAGTAACTTTTGACAAAATCGAGCAAATCTGTAGGCACCTCTCACTTAACGATGAGTTAAGCAAGATACAATTTCCCCACTTTTGAGGGAAATGTTATTCCATGGCATCATTATTATTTGTGGGCGTAAATACAAGTTGCTTACGTCTACATGAATTTGATTTTTGTCTCACTTGTGACTGTTCGTTTTTTTATGAAACTATCATTCTATGCGTTATTATTCTAAGCGTCTGAATACAAATAGAAAATTTTCAAAATTTTTTTTTTAATTTTCAGAACTACCTACCTTGCAGTATTATCAGTATTTAAAATTTCCTTTTAATTTCAACTTGTGTCGTCAAAAGTCTATTGTTGTTTTGTTGTCGAAATGAGCACGGATGTAGAAAGGTTCTCTACAAAGTCATGCCGTTGGGAATTTCATGAAGTTGCACATAAGAGACGAGACTTGTAAATGAAAAAGGAACACCGTGTAATGCCGAGTCTCACAAGCTAACAACAAATAAAATTAAACGGAAATTGTCTTGTGTTTCAATGCTATTTAAAAAACAACATCGGGCACATAGACTATGATCTTTGCTTCAACACATGATATGTTGTTGATGTATGTGACTCAGAATTGAAACGTGATGCTGAAAATGAAATTATAAAAATACAAAAATATAATCGATATTACTTAAGAGGCTATAACTTGTTTTGTTAAGGAAGATGAAACATAAGACGCCTCAAAAATAATATGTCAACATAAATTAAGTGTAAAGAATATTCTTAATTCTAATAATTATAGTATAGTTTTGGTGTAAAATAAATAAAAACAACAAAAAAGCATGAAAATTGTAAACAACAGAATGTTTTAGAATATATTATATTAAATTTTACAAATAAATTAGTTTTCGTGATTTCTGAGAATTTTTCTCACCGCGCTGCTATTGATTATCCTAAGAGTAGTAAAGGAATTGCAGTATTTAAAAAAAGTATAAATGAGTAGGTACTTCCACAACAGTCTTGCAAGTCTTTTGTTTATAGTCTCACTTTATAAAGAAAGATTAATTTATTGTCTATTATCACTGAGTTCAAAACCGTACTATTTTTTAGCTATGCGGAGTTATTGAAATTGAGAAATTTGCAAAACTGTAACTTCTAAGTTAAGTAATTAATAATCGTAGATCTAGAAAATGTATATACGTATAACGTATACTCGCTTCGTTCGTCATTCGCTTGATATATTTATTGGAGCAGTGGTATTTACCTATCCATATAATATATCTACTCGTACAAATAAATGTATGTCTCTATATAATTTATGCACCATTTAACGGATTGATATCACTAATGTAATATATTTTCACATTTATTTGTTACCTAACATAAAAAAATCATATTTAGACAATATATATTCAAAAAGAGGGGGCATTTGCATTTAGTTTCGTTCCTCGTTTGGGTCAGAACATATAGATAACTATAATCTGAATTGCATGAACCCTTCAAGTGTTGAGTGAAGTGTCGAGTTGCAAGGTCACCTCCGAGTTTCGTTTGTCCCAAGACACCATCCATCATGAGAAGGTCGTGTGTGGGCGATAACTGACACTTCCACCTCACCGCAAATGAACTGTCGAAAGCGTACCTCTTCATAGACTAAATGCGAGTTAAAGATCCATGAAAAAGGATTTCGAATAAACGGTCACATTAATACCTCTAACATTTGGCCTATTGTTGTCACACACGTCGCACTGTCTGAATAAACACGTGTATGTACCACAGCTGCCAAGAGTCCTGTCATAGGAAAGAGTATTATATAGAGTATAGTCTTCACTTTGACTATGGTGAAATTACAGGGACTGGACGAGCGCACTCGTAGTGCCTGTTAGATCTCTGTGACAGTTTCAGTCTTGACTTGCAAGAAAAACCTACACATGGATCTGATTTTTTTTTACCTTCTATGCTTAACTACGGCTATTATTTCAAACGAAATCAATGATTTCGATGACAGAATAAAGTTACTATAATATACGGAATTTGCGCCAAGAACGTACGACACTTGGTAACATAAACATAATTGGTCCGTGTTGGGGTTGGGTTTAGAAACAGTGTAATCGTGCGTTTCAACATTTTATTATTTAACCTAGCTAAGCTAAGGTTATAAAATAATTCTTCCATATAATTCCGTTGACGATGAATTAATTAATTAATAATGCATTCCTTTCAAGTTTGAATAATAATAATGTATTTATTTATCTCCACAAACATAATAACTGAACGTGAACCAAACTGAGATAGAAAAAAATTGAGTTTATATTATGTTTTAATAAAATCCATAGTGAAGCAAGAAGAGCGTCGTAGAGAAATATTTCCACAGTTTACAACAAAATCGACCAACAGACTTGGACAGCTACGACTACGAATTCAATTTCCCTCGCAACAATCTAATTTTAAGCAACTTGTGTGATTCTATTGTATTTCGTCACTTCATGTGAAGATTTCAACCACAAAAATGTTTATGGGTGTTTGCAACTATACTTACGCTTGTAAGGTTACGCACTTTACCTTTATCTAATACGTTTCAGCGTTTCAAAAATAAGTTAATAATACAGAACATTTTCTCTGTACCCCTCTTGAGCATACAACACGGGAGATGCTATAAGCATTATTTTTCGGACATAACTTTCTGCCATTCTTTAAGAGGCGAGAGGGTTCTACTACAAACAAATAGATGAACTCAAATGCAATATCGAGTTATATCACTATTAACGACAATAATACCATTATATATATATATATATATATATATATATATATATATATATATGATCTCCCAGTAAGTGTTATACTTTGGCCGGACTGTTAGAGTCCTACCTGATGCACTCCACTTTTCGAACGTTTTAGATGTTCCTGGTACTCACCAGATACATCCGACCACAACTCCCATACATCATTTTTACCCGATCGACTCTTTCTATCAATCAGTCAGTCGGTCAGTGGTAATCGAGTTATATTGTACGAGCCCTGTACGTAATTGTACGAGCACCTTCGATTGGGTCGGGTTCGACCTGCAGTGCGTGGTCCGATTCAATGCGTGTTTTCGTGTGCTTATTTATGCTTTTCGATGGCACAGCGGTTAGTATTATGGACGCTTGATGAGGAGGTTCCCGATTTGGGCCAATTTATGAAAGAAACATTTTTAAATTGATTCTGGTCTGGGTATTGCACTCAGAGTTATCATTAATCTGGTACTCATAGTACAAGGAATTTCCTGGTTTGAGATCAACATTACGTACAAAATTGTGTGTGTGATGTGTCTGGCATTATTCTTATACATAATTTTTCCCTAAAATACTTTTAACCTATCTGGTATAGGTTCCAAGAAAAAGGAGTCTAACAAAGAGATAGTGGAGATACAACAACACTATAAGTAAGATAGTTACTTCACTATATCGCAAAGTAAGCTTCCCATTTTTATCAATTGTGAGATTTTGTACTGGTACAGCGCCTCCATATACTACTACATAGACACCGTCCTCCACCGGACCTTGGCCTACGATCTCGCTACTTTTGACTTTACTTTAAAAAATAAAAATAGCTCTTACACATATTATAACCGCAAAACTTTTAGCCCCAAATTATACTTAAGGATTCCTAAACACCTCCGCATGCCGATTTCCAGCCGGATCGTAGCAAGTTCTTCGGCCGCCATTTTAAATTTGCCACCTTGAATTTTTTTGTTACAGACAGTTGACCACTGTTACTTGACGCTTGTACAAACAGAAGTGAGGAAATCAAGTATTGCTATTAGAAACCGATATTGGTGGTGTGACGTTGATCGGGCACGCACTTATTCCTGCTTTGTAGAAAAAGTTCGAATTCGAAGTGTGTACAACATTATCAATATTCACATAGTGCAGTAATTTTGTTCACAGAAAACTGTCATATTTTCGAATTTTTATATCTGACCGTGAAGCTATCCCCGGTGGCCACTTAGCGGGGCGTTTGGGAGGTTAGACGTACCTGGCTCTTCGCCAAAAACCCACTCCACCCGCACTCTATAAAATTATCCGTTTGTTGCGACCCTCTTTTGACTACAGCACACAAAATGTCGTTTATTTCATATTTTTGCTGTTTGAATACTCCTTTTATTTTCACATTGTACAAAGTGTCGACATGCATGAACATTTAGTTTTAAAATTGCAAATGCTTTTTACTGTGATTACGATCAACTATCTGTCACATCAATACATCGTGCCTCTGTGGTGCACTTAATAAGATATGATTTCCTTTTAAAGAATGAATTAAACTGTGGATTGTGAAATTACTGTTCATTTGCGACCAACTATGCAAAATACCGCCGACGCCGACAGACGTTACTGTTATGAAAAGAAATGCTACGCCACACGACTGACTACACAATGATAATTGGTAACTATTTTAATCATATTATTCATACACTCGCTCTATCTTATATGTTTGTAGACTTTTATTTAAGCCCCGAAATTAACATTGTCAATTAACGCCACTGGAGAACTTTACCGCACTATAAAGTTATATGGCGATCATATTTCAATTAAAACAAAGATCCAGGCCTTTGATATTTACGACCAAACGTGTAAGTTCATTGGCATTCATTGACTTTGACATTAGTTAAATTTGTTTTGATCTGAGAAACAGAAATGTATTAAAGTAACTAGTTTAATACATTTCTGCTTCACAGATTAAATCATCTGTTGATGAGGGATATTAATTTATATATGTGTCTTGTTTTCGTGATCCGGGAGCAAATTTCGGATATTATTGTAAGTTTCTGTTCTAGAAATTATTGATTTCTTAAAAATAGAAGATCGCATAGGTATTCTTTAATTTTTTTTACAAGTCGTGGGCCTGATAGTAAGCGACACGCCTTTCTGCAACATTGCAGTGTCACACAAAGATTTGAAAAGCTATGAGGGCATTACCACTGCGCAGTCTTACAGCGACATAAACTTGACAAATCCCATGTGGCTGTGGCTTTACCAGAATCTTCACAACTGGAATGCAGCAATGTTCACAATTTGTGCTTGGCGGCAGAAACAGGTAACTTGGCAGTACCTGTCAAGATGAACCATTTCACAAGGAACTCTACTACTGCTTCTAAAATTAGATTAACGCATTAAGCACCCGTTGGCCTAAAATATTTAGAATAGTTTTTATACTAAACATATCATTTTACTTATAATAGTTCTACTTGTAAGTAGTGTATTTTTTTGTGATCTTGTACTTACCAGTGATTACCAAATTAATATCTATAAATTGATGCCAGTTAAAATGTTGACATCAAATGAAGTTCACGCGCTGTAATGCCACGTAAGTCATTTATCACTAAGAAACTTTGTCCGCAAGTTCTCCGAAGTTGAAGAGAGTTTACAGACAGGTGAGAACAATATGCACACTTCCTACATGGGTACGACATAAATAACAAAAAGAAAACTAGGCTCAAGACACATATCGGTTAGTTCACGGTTAAATGGTAGGTTTGTACCAAAATACTTAATAGATCTAAGGTATAAAATTATCACTTGCATAGTGTAGTTTCGTGCTAGACAACCACACTGATTGCCTAGTCTCAAACTAGGGAACTCTCTACCAGACCAACGGAATTCACTCCGCTAACCAGAACACCGAAACCAGAACCAAATTAAAAAGTTCATTTCCCAAATTGGTCCTACCCGGAATCGAACTTGGGCCCACAGTGCCAACTATTGGGCTATTGAGCTCGTCCAATATTATTGTCGAGAGATTTTACAGTTTTTACGAGATTATAAAGCTGTTTGGCTTTTACAATAGTTGACGATTACCTACATTGTTTAAGCTATTTTATTGTAATGTATTTGAATTGATTGATTGATAATATAATAAAAATAAAGCTGGCAGATATTATTAGATTACGATTATACTAAAGAATTGCATCCGAGTCCCGAGAACAGGGAAACTTTCCAGTTAGCATGAACATTCTAGTTGGAACTCGGAAAGCGAAATGAAATTAAAAAAATGAAAATTAGACATTTTCGAAAATTTTTGTAAATTTTAAAATTTAACAATTATTCATCGTAATTAAAGGCAAACAAGCGAGATAGCTACTATGCTCTCTAACTACTTACTGACTAAATAATATATCAGAAAAAAACAACATATGTGGGCCCTTCTCCAGGTGTAGATTAAAGTGGCTATTACTTTATTTACATTTTAGATAATGAATATATGCAAATATATACAAAATTACTATTTGCAGCTTTTTCTTTTGGTACGTAGTGGAGACGGGCAGCGATCATAAAAATGTCGGCGGCGGCGTCAAATAGTTTTACGAATGGTGGCGACGCGACGGCGTAATCGGCGTGGCGTAAATATTTTCCAGGTGTTAAAATACTAAATCATTATGAATGTATTCATTTTCAACGTTTTTTACATTTTAACTTGAAAGTTAACAAGTATGGTACAATGGAGATTGACAGTCCAACTCTAGCATTTATGCGTGTGGATAACACGTAATTTTTTCCTTTTTTTTACTCGGTTCACAAAACTGGACACAATTCTAAAATAAGGTGTAAACGTTTAATGCACATTATGATATGAAAAGAATGTGTCTTACTTGACATGAACACAATAATCAAATTTCATTAACAAAAAGTGCATAAATGGCAGTAATAAGAAATTTGCATCTAACACTTAAGAGAAGACAATAAACAAAACACAGGCCACAGAACCGGATAAAATGTAATCAATTTTAATTGTTCGGAATTGATTATTGTATTGATATATAGTGGGATTGGGCTGGTCACGTCTGTCGTATGCCAAACGAGTTGTGGGCCAACATAACCTCGACATAACCTCGGTTTGGGAGGCCCACAACTCAAAAAGGAGACGCGGTAGACCACGTTGGCGATAGCGTGATGGCATAGACTCCTTTTTAAAGGATAGGCCCAATGATGCCTAAGGCCGGGATCACTGGTAAAAGAGAGGGAGGTCTTTAGCCAACAATGGGACAGACAAATAATTAACAAACAAACTGATACTTAATTCAAATAAAATTAATTTCAGTCATGCCAATTTTACGATATGGTACAGATTTTATTTTGTTTGTTGTACTTCAAGCCCTTTTTCCATCGAGATAAGCCTTCTACTCACCGTAATCTTGACACACAGCATTCGCCATATATGCATCAGCGCTTTCATATTTTGTTTGTGGGTATTAACGTCCTCAACCGCAATCAGTGCCTCTACCATGAGATTACAGTGAGTTATCGCTACCGCGTAAAATGTTTTTACACAAAATGTTGTTTCTTCATGTGACCGCCAGGAGCGCAGCACAATATGCCATACTAAATTGTGAAGTAATATTATGCTAGCTAGCGACAACTGTCATAGTAAAGTCGTGGTAGAGGCACAGTTCACATGTGCTTATTTTCTATATATTATAATAGTGTACTGTAAAGCTCAATTCACATTGCTGCAGAACAGAATGGACACGAATGTTTGAAACCACAGCATAATGAACTTTATGTCAATTGTGTAACGCACAAACTAGATATGGGCCAAATAACAGGTCGCGCGGCTTCCAGATTCTTGCGTTGTCTAGGGTATGTATCTTTTCTAACCGACTTCATAAAAGGAGAAGGTTCTCAATTCGAGTGGATTTTTTTTTTTTTTTGATACGTACATTACCCAATAACTCGGCATTTGTGAACCGATTTTGATGATTCTTTTTTTGTTGGAACATAACGAGCTTACGTCAATTTGTGTAACGCTTTGTGCGTTACACAAATTGACGTAAGCTCATTATGCTGTGTACATTACATTCCGCAGCAATTTAAATTGCGGCTAACTGTTGACTTTTCTTATTTTATGGAATTTGCAAAGCCATGATAAAGTTTTGATTAATAATGCTACAAAATATTTAAAAATATTTATTCTTTCTCTATCTTTTGTACTTAAACAAAAGGAAATAAGTAGATAACTTGTAAGGTTTGTACACAACATAATGGATATGAAAACTATACCAACTGTCAAAGTTATCGAGGTAACTATGGGAAATGTAGTAAGCGTTTGGCGAACTCGTCGTAAGAGTAGTATCTAAATCTATTCAATGCGCGGTTATACTCGTAAATAATCGACCGTAAAGTGACGGGCCTTCATATCACGTCTTCATCAAATGTATATTGTAAGTGCTAACTATAAAGCAAAGGTAGATATGGTCTGGCAATATACACACATCAAAAGCAGTGGACAAGTTATTTTCTTTTTAAAATTTCATTAAAATTCAATAAAAATATCTGTACAAATTTATGAAATTATTAATCAGTTATTTAAATTATGAAATGAAGCAAAAAATAATTGACGTTAAACAAAATTAATTAAAATACCCGATTATCAGTAATTGGCAAAAACTTGCTTGATCCCTAAACACGTTTGTTGTTGTATTTAATATGTTGCCAAACCATATCTACCTTATATATTCAATGACTTTATGATAATTTATCACATTGTATAAAAGTATTGGAAATTCAGAATTTGTCAGCTTCCCAAACATAGATCAAGTTACATCATCACATTGTAAGATGACGGATATGTCGGGAATTTTTGTCTGTCTCATAAAAATAACGTGCACTAAAATATAAAATCTCAACAGCTAAAAACTGGTACACACATACAATAAGATTTAAAAAATTTTAGATATAGCATCAAAATATGTAACTTACTACACTATTTTCCAAGAGGGGGAAGCACAAAGTTCAGATCTGCACACACAACAATCCTGGCGTACGTATTTCACTTCCTACATTAACGTGCATATAATATCAAATCACTTGATTAATATGATTTGTATTATTTTAATGATTTTCCTTATTGCATACAAGTTTAATTTATATTATACATACTCCATGTATATTTTTTGTAGGTAGTCCCTTAATTTGTAAAAACCTTTATTTATTTCGCAAAAGTTGTGCTTGGCTGTCATAGGAATGAATTGTACTCCAATTCTACTCGTATGTAATACATGTGAAATAATGCATGTAAAACAAGTAAAATAAATAAATATTTATTATCAATCACCAATCAATCAATTACACCACACATTGATAAAAAATCCGAAAAAATAGAACTCTGTACTTCATTGTTAAGCTACATACCACATGGTTGGAATTTGTAGTTAATTACCGTCTACTCTTGTAGCGAACTCAATGTTGATACATATAAGTTTACCCAATTTGCCGGTACGAGAACAAAGGATGCTTAACCTATTAGGTCAACTTGTTTGGAGTGTTATTAATTTAGATCTAATCTTGTTTTCAATAGCTTTGATTTATAATTAAAATAGCAAGTCGTAATTCGTCTACGTGTTGATACTAATTTAATAAATTCAAATTACAATGTAGTCTATATACACGCGTGTCGTTTGTAATACAATGTCTTCAAGGTAGGATATGTACATACATAGTCATATGTATGCAAAAGCCCTATTTTGTTGGTCTATATATAATAAGTGAACAAAATTTCAGAAATAGCATTGTTTTCAAGAAAATGAACGGGAATGTTGACGGTGCTAACGGAAGTCGAAGCAACTAGGCCGGGGCTAGCCGCAGTCCATACAATAGATTCAGTAGATGTAACCTTCTACCTAATCGCTACACACGTAGCACTGCTATACGTAACGATTCGTAGCATGCTACAATGAAATCTCGGCTAGTTTTGCTGTCTCTTTGTATTAGTCTAACATTTTAAATTTGTTATTTATTGTCGATCGAAGTAAATGTAACTGTGAAGTAATTGAGCCTTCAGAATTACTAAATAATTAATCTCGTTTACTTTGTGACAAGCTACATAATCGTAAAACCTCATACTATGTAACTACTCAATTCTTTCTTGTAATTTTGAACATACGAACTTCCCTGTAGGGAACGTAGAGATGACGTCATCGACATCGTCACGTAAGATGTCCAACGCTGGATACATGGCTATTCCTAGTGTCTTCACTTTGAATCGTCTAGTGCTGCCCGCGTCACAGTAAGCAATTTAAGGTCATTAGTGCTGAGTAGAAATAGTAGTAGTACCGTATTATAACATAATTTTACGATGATGATAGGTAAGTGAATTTTCCCAAATATGCTCGGAAATGTTTGCATTACTTTCAAAAAACGAACATGGAAAGTTTGTCATTAAAGGGCTATTCACATTAGACCGTCCCGGGCACGAACCGAGCCACGTACGAGGCTCTACATATTAATACAACTCTTTCTCGTCCAGCAATCCCTTACTTCCCGACCTCTGCAACAATGTACTATTAAAATAGTAAAACAAAGATTACTAATGAAAGAAATAATTTGTAACAATTCTGGATTCACAATATTCATTAAGTTTTAAGTTCACCTGAACTAATGGCTAAGGATCCCGTTAGTTTACGCGAACTAATGGCGACTTTTATGTAATAATGAAATGGACACCACATAGATCCACTGACTCCTCACCTACCTCATCATCATCATTCATCATCAACTATTTATTCAACCCACTGCTGGGGTCTCCTCGCAGCGAGGGTTTAGGCCAACGTCCGCTACGCTGACCTAATGCGGGTTGGGGACCTCACACTTGTACCGAGAGTTGTGAACCTCCTTCGACGTGCAGGTTTCATCGTGATGTTTTCCTTCACCGAAAAACTCAAGATTAATTTCAAATTAGATTTCGCACATAAATTCCGAGAAACTCAGAGTTACGAGCCCACGGCCTCCGCTTGAGAGATGGCAAGTCAAACCTCGTCCCCATCACTAGACATTTATTGCATCGCCACAACACATGGACACAAATAACAGTTTAATAATCCTTAGCATACAAAACAAAATACACGTACTTTGTGTTTAAAATTATGTGAGCAACTGTTAGTACAGAACGGGTTCATTATCTAATCGAATTTCCAGTTCCGAAAACTGAACCTAATTGGGCGTAGATTTCAAAACTCGCAATCTTGGATTACTATGTACGCACAGTCCAATTTCATCTCTGTAAGTGTAATTTGGTCTAGCTAGACGTGCCAGGTAGACTAACAATAGCAAAAGTTCGTTTTCATAGACTTGGAGATTACAGAATGCATAATTTTCATACGTTTGTTCATAGTGAAATATTATGTGTGGACGGGACATATAAAAAGACGTAGATAAGAAAGACATCAAAATGGATGGTTGGTACTTCCATAAGTTTTAGAATAAAAAGGGTAACTATATTATGAAGAGGTTGAGTCAATTCTAAAATAGAAATTTCACTGTGAGTTTTATTATACCTTTGCCTAATTTTGTTTGGTTGTTTTTTTATCTCTGTAGGACAGGCTGCTAACAGATTAACTTCATGTTTGTAGTGAATGCGTGAAGTCGTAATAAACTTCACGCAACCGAGACCACGACTGCATTAAGTTGATAAAGATTTCACGCATTAACACTGTCGATCTAGGCCACATGAAGTCGATTTCAATTGCATGCAGTTAATGCGTGTAGTCGTTATCAACTTCATGTAGTGAAGGTTTAGCATAACGACTTCACGTATTAACTGCATGCAGTTGAACCGACTACATGCACCGGCGATCGACTGCATGGTATTAATGTGGGAAGTTGATTGCGACCTCACGCATTAACTGCAAACACACAGTCAATCTGTTAGTAGACCCATGAACTCTGTTGTATTTACAAAAATCGAATGAAAATCTGATGACTTTATTTATTGCGAAGAGGGAAGGCAAGGTTACATACCCGCAGCTAATGAACGAAAAGTAATTTAGGGAGGCCGCCCCTTCCGCACCGGTCTGGACGGAGGTGACTTTACGACACATCCTGGCTTCCAAAAAAAGCCTTAACCTCTAAAACGGGGAAATGAGTTAATATTTAATTAAAATCTTGGGTTAAAAAACAAACAAATTTTTATGAGTAATTTGTCATCATTTGTTATGGACATTGTTCTCGAGGACAATACACTACAATATTTCACAAGGTCAAGTCTACAAAACAGACCGGTGTTTTCAAAGTACAGGAATTTGAATTGAAGCGGACGTCTTATCCATCCGCCATAGTTAACAAATGTTTTTAGAATAATTGACGAAGTCGGTATCCATTTCCAGACAGCAACAAAAAAAATTGCATGTAAGCATTGACTTACAATTATATGGACGTCGTC